GAAAAAATACAGTGCAACTGGAAGCACAGCATTCAACAGTTTGTAGTTTCATATGGGCATTTCCACCCTTAGTTAAATCTCTATTGTTTCCTTTTCACCAGTCTGTAAGGTGGAGTTACTAAGTTTTAAAGTGGTTGTGCACAGTGATTGTACATACAGAAGTTAGACCTACAGGTGTATATGTCCTATACAATTGATGGCTTTCTCAAATTTTGGTGTCRCTTAGTGCTCATTGAGAAGGTAACTTATAGTATCATTGGTTGGTAGACTCCAGAATTTGGATGTCTTTCAAAGCTGGATTGAAAATTCATAGCAAGRAAGAAACATGAGATTATGTTTATCACAGTCATGGCTGTTTTGAATTACTGAAACATAAACCCACAATGATAGGACCAGCTCTGTCCTAACCATAAGTCCTGATGTAAAACAAAGGAGCTTTGCTTTATCTGTTTAAATAGGCCGGTTACAATCTAAACTCATCCTGCAGTGCCCTTGAGCCTGCTCAATTTAAGCTAGAGGWGCAGAACCCTTTCAAGACTAACACTTCTAATTTGCTTTTACCTGTTGACAATTATTCAGTCAGTGTGCTCCAATAAGAAGATRGGAAGGCAATCCTGCAGTGACAAGACAGTGGATGAAGGGATGTGAACAGAGCAGTAGAAGGCAAAAGCCTTCATTTGCAAAGCTGTAGTTCTGCGGTGCTGTGCAGTGTGACTGAAATACTGAAGCAAGCCTATTCATCGGATACAAAAGAGGCTTTAGCAAGATTTTCAGCTGGACCATGGAAGGTGTGATCCATTGCTACMAAAATGACCTAGTGGCATGTGATCAGAGCACAGTATTCAGATCAAGGAGGAGAAATCTCTGTCTCCCAGAGCCTGACTCACTGCTAGATCAGTGTAACTCTGCTTTGACTAAGTTTGAAAAGGGAAGACCTACCTTTCTTTCTCAAAAATGGGGCACTTACTTTTAGGCAATTACCTTCATTAGCTGTTCTGATGTTTGCAAGGATGTTCCAGCTTTATGTGCACTGTGACTGAACATACTCAGTAATGCCTGGAAGTGTTACTGGGCCACAGAGAGACTGAATGTGTACATTGTTCAAAAATGTCAATATGATGCATGTCAAGGACATCGTCCTGCCACTGCCAGACATACATGGAAGTAGGGAGAAACTYTATGAAGAGGGCAGGGGGCATAAGGTTAAGGAATCTTGGTAGTCCTCTGAGAAATGGACTTTTGGTTCAGAGAGCTGACACGAGATGGAGAGATGCACTCAGACCTGCAAGTGGAGGTAGACAATGCATCGAAGTCACATGGACATTGATAAATCTGGATTTGGTGTTTTGGTTCATTCAGCTACAACATTCAGTAACTGACAGGAAACTGTCAGGRTTTTTCTCCAGTAGATGCTTGCCTAAAGGAAAACATTGYMCACTGTGCATAATACTAGATTGTGGTKAATTTGTACCAGTTTTAAGACAGACATGCATGACATACCCATTCTAGGCACAGCTGCAATRAAAGTAAAAATCACAATGTAAGTTCTGCCTGGCATACTCTTCAAAGGTAGTTTCCATTGGCAGACCAATAATGTGGTTTTTTTCCAGTGGCTGTAGTGTCAGTTTTCAGTACTGCCCAGTAAAAGTTCCTTTGCAACAATTTAGAAATATCTGTAGGATTACTGTGTATTGATTTAACTCGCATAAAACCYCAAAAAGAACTCAGTAAGCCTGTCACTGTTGTTTCTTATTTTGCTTTATAGTACTCTTTACTGTAGTTTTATCATGACTTATGGAAAAATTACTTTACTGGCTCTGTCATGGATGTCACACAAAGGAAATTGTTTCTGGTTTCCCTGAAGGAAAGGGTTTTCAGTAGCTGGATGTTTTGGAAATCTTTGTCTCCTGCAGCATAAAGTATGGTAGCATTTTTCTGCTTTCTCCTGCCTGTCTCTCCAGTTGTTATCTTGCTTTCCAGTACAAGAGGAACAGTTTCCTTTTCCCTTGTATTTATTTTCCTCCCTCTCCTCTGCAATTGTCTATTCATTTTTCTTTTTATCTTAGGCCTCTGTGGTACAGAATATGCAGTAAGAGGCCAACCAGCATTGTGTAACCAGTGAGCAAGGAAGAGYCTTAAACAGAACCTGTTCTCCACACAGTTGCTACCAATGCAAGTGAAAAATGCTGCTATGCAACAGGGTAATTTTCCTTTTTTAGCTGAAMATCCTCATTCTCTACTTACACCTTTCCTCCTGATTCTGATTTTTCTGCCCTAGCAGTTGCAGACAAAATAATTGAAATAACACTTTTTTTTTTTTTGGTGGATAAAGAGTAGACTTGGGATGCAGGAAGTAAATATTTGGGGAGACCTCAAAGGTTTTGCCAGGGTGGTTGCTTTCATCAGTCGCCAGTAATGGCTAAGGGCTATCAGCTTGTAAATGACAGTACAAACATGGCAAGTCACAGTTCATAAGACTCCAAAATGTTTTCACTATCATCTTATTCCAGGAATCTGTCTAGGATTGTACATAGAAGCTCACTCCATGAAGTTTTCAGAAATCAAGAAGCAAAACCAAATTAAGCTAGTCTGACACAAATAATTGAGAAGAGGTAAAAACTCCACCCCAATCAATGAACAAAAGCAGAAACTTTTCCAGACCTTCAGTATCTTGCCCAGGCCAGAACTGCTCTAATTTTATCTGTTTAGACTCAAACATATCCTTACTTAGCATAAGGATTGGCATTGTGGAAATGGGGTAAATCTGCTTCTTTTGAAGTTGTAGACATTTTATGATTAAGCATAAAGCAAATGGCATATTTCCTGGTGGGTTTTTTTGTTTTGTTTTTTTGTTTTTTTTTTTCTGAAACTAATTATCTTAGCATGTTTTCATAGGGAAAGTTCAATGACTGCATTTGAAAAAAAAAAAAAGTCCACCTTGGAGGAGTCATCTGGCATTTGAAACCACTGTTAATTTTGTAGGCCTGTGTTTAGAAGGTGCTGAACTGTTTCACTTCAAAGTTAATAAATAAAACTTTAACTTCTAGTAGATGYAAAGAAAATATATGTAAAGTTATTCAAGCAAGAAGAGGAATTTATCAAAATAAATACTTCCTGATTTTATAATAAACAGTGCTTTCAGCCAAATCACAAAAATAGGTGAATATGAAGCTTTTTGGTTGTTCTAGCTGTAATTTTAGACAATGCACAAGGTTAAGGCTTTGAAAACATTTTATAAGAAACTCCCGGTAGCAGCTCCTGGTCTAGCTCCAGTTCAAACTGCTACAAAGTTGCCTGGCATCTGTTTGTAATATATGCAATACAGTTTGGAAAGGGTTGTGTCAACACCAAGAGCTCAATTCTGCTTGAATACACGCCCTGTTAGATCGGCTCAGCAATGCTATAGTGAACGAGAAATAATATATCACACTAAGAAAGCAGGCAGCAATCTCTTGTACTTTTATTTTCCTCATTTTCTSTATCTGAGTCTGTTTTAGAAAAGTATGCAATCTGGGGTATGATCAGTCTGGCTTGAAGACGTTTTATCAATAGATCACATCTCTTCATCCAGTTTATCAGGTGACACATGAAAATACACCTTGCAGCCTAGTGGTCTCAAACATAAAACACAAAATTTAATTTCAGATAGAAAAGAAATAGGGGGTTGGATTAGGGAAATTCTTATACTTGTTAGGAGAGAACTTTAGGCATTTAATTCTGCTGATTTTAGGGTGAATACAGAATTTGAAATCTCCTGTAAAACCCTTGCARTAATGTTAAGTATACTACTGACAATGCCAAAGAAGCCATTTTTTCATAACACTCGTGGAGTCCTRTATAGTTTGTACTAAGGCATGTTCAGCTGCTTGGCTCAATAAAAACCAAATCTGAACCAGAGTGCCTCTTTGATTGGGCTGTATGCTTTTGGTATAAACTAGCAAAGAACGACTTGCAACATAATCAATAAAAACACAACCTACCATCTCTGTAGTTCTTTAATGACTGTGAATACTTTAAAAAGYAGGCTTATTCCTGTTTATGCATTGGGAAGGAAGAAATGTGTAATTGTACAGTGACTTGTCCCAYACAACAGGGCTGGTGAGAGTGGAAATTTACCTTCACTGAAATGGAAAGGACAAAACTAACCCCACTTGGCCTAGCTGTGGGTTGGATTGGCATTGGGGAAATGGGGTAAATCTGCTTTTTTTTGAAGTTGTTCTTTTGAAGACATTTTATAATTGTTTTAAGCATAAAGCAAATGGCAGCCCTTGTCCTGTTTACCCAGATCATTTACCCATTTTACATAGGACCGCAAATTACATCAGTTGCAATTTGTGAGGACAAGCCAAGCCCTCAGTGTTTTGCCTTTATTTGATGACAGACAACAGGCTCAAAAGATCACAGGGAAAAAACGAAACTAGTGTTAGTGAGGCTTGGAAAGTTTTTTTCCTCTGTATGATTTTAATTAATATTGAAAATGCTTCAAYTGAACTGCAAATCGCTTTCAAAAATCTTTGAACTCCGTGAGGGTTGTGAGGCACTGACACAGGCTTTCCAGTCACGATCCATTTGCCCCACTCCTGGARGCSAACAAGGYCCRGCTGGATGGAGCTYTGAGCAACCAGGYCGAGTGGAAGGTGTCCCTGGCCACGGCAGAGGGGTTGGTTATGACCTTTAMAGCTCCTTCCAACCCAAACCATCCTTTCAATTTATGATAAACTCCAATCGCGTGCTCTGTGGGAGAGCATTTACGGTACCTCCGCCCTGCCACGTCCAATTATTAACAAGAAGTCGACATCAAAGACTAATTTCAACACTCCCGCGGTAGATTTTGCCAGCGCCAGCACCAAGGCAGCGGCACCCGGCGCCGGGCTCCCTCACGCAGGCACCGAGCGGGGGCAGAGGGGGCGGGCCCGGCCTCGCGCGCGGCGCCTGCGCMTGGGCGGGAGCGGCGGCGGGGAGGGGAGGGGAGGGCGGCGCGCGCCCCGGCCGCCATTTCGGGCACCGTGAGGCGGGAGCGCCCCCGCCCAGCGCTCGGTGCGTGTCCGCCACCCCCGGGGCGGGGCGGGGCGTGCGCTCGGGGCATTTCCGCATTTGCACAGGGCTTAAATATAAACCAGGTGAAGGGRAAGACTTCGAGTTTGCAAAGAAGCAAGAAACGAGCCGTTATAATTTTTTTTCTTGGGTTAATCTCTCCTTTTGTAAGGCTCTTTATCTCGGAAAAGATGGCAGATCCCTGGCAAGAATGTATGGATTATGCAGTTGATTTAGCAAGGAAAGCTGGGGAGGTATGTRTAAGCTCTTTATTAATAATAACGTTTTGTATTGAGTGTAATATGTGTGTAGCTTTTGAAGATGTTGGATGTTGGAMTTTCTTCTGAAGAGTGTTTTGTCARAAACCTAAATAGGCAGAATAGTTTGTGATGTTCAAGGTCAAAATTAGAGTGTCTTTTATGCATGCAACTTGGTTGATTCAAGAAAACAACTTTTCGCTTTTCTTTGGCCTGGTAGGAAAGGCTAAGGAGTAACTTTTGTTCCTTGAATTTGATTTTAAAAATAAAGAAAATTCAGACTTGTGGTAAACAAAGAGCATCTCAATTTTCCCCCTTAAACTACTTCTGTCTACCTTATTATTTTACCACCTGAAAGCTGGTGACAGTCTTTCTTGTGAATGCCTCAATCAGCTWTAAAAAGTGGCTTGTTGATGGCACACAATACCATATTGTGTTCTCTCCATCCTTGGAAGTGTCCAAGGCCATGTTGGATGGAGCCCWAAGTCTGGTCTAGTGAAAGGTGTCCCTGCCCWTGGCAGGGGAGTTGGGACTAGGCARTCTTCAAGGCTCCTTCCAACCCSAACCATTCTATKATTATTTCTCYTCATGAAGACTGCTTTGCTTCTGTAAACAAGAACCATTCCTTGCAGTGGTGMTATTTTGCCATTTCAGAKCYAAGATGGCTTAGAACAAGACAAAGKTTGYACATCTTGGCAAAGGCTCMGCACCARTGGTTACCAAATGTTCAGATCTTAGTAGTTCTGCTTGGTACATTTGAAGGCTGTGGCAGTCAGACAAGATGGCACATGTACTAAATCTGTGCCCTGCAGCTGCAAAAGCTGTGGAGTATTGTCTGTGCAATGACCTCATTMAAGTCTTGCCTCAGAAAATCTTTCTAAGTTGTAATAATTCTGTTGGCTGTGAGACATGGGTTCTTGCTTAAGCTGATTCTGAAAGTTTTAAAATCATAAATGCAGGATCTGGCTAAAAATGGCTGACTTGAGCTCAGTGTTAGTTTTTTTTGTTTAACTCTGGTATTTAAATTTCTAAATCTAAAACTTGTCCTAACAAAATTGACCCCAGCTTGATCTTCCTGTAGTACTCAGATGTAAGGCCACGTAAAAATTAGTRCTGAGTAGGGACTAGAGATGCAAGTCCCAACTCCTGCAGTTAAATCCCAGTTATGTCCCTGCTTGTGTTTGTGTTTTGTGTGTGCAGTATAGAAATTACTGTGAAAATTATGCTTACATTTTTTTGAAAACTAGTATTTTCCATACTGTTAACAGKGAAAGATTTTTTTAATTTTTGTTTTTGTTTTAACAGATAATTCGTGGAGCACTGAAAGAAGAAATATCTGTTATGACTAAAAGTTCACCTGTAGATCTAGTGACAGAAACTGATCAAAAAGTAGAAAACTTCCTTATTTCTTTGATAAAAGAAAAGTATCCTTCTCACAGGTATGGCTTGTTAGTGGTATGCTTTTTGACAAAAGAAAAATGGAAAGTTTAAGATTTTGCTTGGTAAAATTTTATTACAGCTGGCATGCTGGAAAGTTGTAGCATTCTTCTTTACTTCAATAAATTAAGTATTGTAGAGTAGTAGTGGGTTGAAGTTTTGCCCAGGGCTGTAGCAACAAAGTAAGGTGTCTGCAGGTCTACTGACATGAGGCTACATTAGGCTGAAATGTTGCTTCCACTTGAGCTGGAAGTGTAAACTGTAAGAAACTTCTTGGTTATTGTGTTGGAAAATCAAAGGTGGCCCTAGGAGACCTGGAACCCACATTTCTTGTCTGCTTTTGAAGTGTGCCTTTGCTGTGTTGGATGGGTCCTGTGGGTCTGAATGTGCCTTTGGCCAATGTCACGCAGTTTGACAACATCAAACATCCTTAAAAGAAGACAGGATCTTGTTCTGYGTAACAGAAAGACTGTCTTACAAAATACTGGGTTTCTTAATTGCTCTTCCCTTTTTYCCCCCCTTTCCCTGCCCCTCTCTATACCCCTGTCCTCCGCCCTTCGAAAAATGTGTTCTTAAAGGGTGATCTRTATGTATTTTACTTACGTGTATCTGTCTTTAAAATTTTGACATAATGGCTGAAGTTTTATACAGTTTCCTTAAAGTCAGTTTTCTTTTTTTTTATTCATTTTATTGGAGATTTAGTGATTATGACTGTGTATGTGAAATTTGTATAGAACTGGAACAGCTGAGGTGATGCAGAAGTTCAGTAACCAAATTAGTATAAGCACACAGACTTGTGAAATGACCTTGAAATAACAGTTTCTGTGATACTGATAAGCATTCTAGAATATTTTAGCTTMTTTTTATTTTAGGTAACAAATGTCRCATTGTACATAATGTGCTGAACTTCCCTTCCTAACAAATTACTCATCCACCTATTCAGTTTCTCATGTCTTTGTGAAGGTCTGCTGCTTTTTGGAAACATGCTGTTTCTTTCTGATTATTTATCTTCGCTTTTGTAGTTAATCATAAAACTCCTAATCAATATTAAAGGACCTCATTTGTTTCCTCTCAGCAGTTCTCATTTTACATGTGAGTGGAGGAAAGCATGTGTTTGCTGCTAACTTTTCATAGGTTGACTAAYGTGTGATAAATTATGACAACCTGCAAAAGGCCTCAAAGAGAATTCCACCCACTTAGACTCATTCTAATAATTTTGSAGTCCGAAACAAACACTTCCATGAGCAACAAAAACCGTGAAATATGGGGTCCTGTGGCATTGTGCCTTCTGTGACCCTGGGGTTTAGTACTTTGGCTGAGCATGCATTCACCCATCTTCTTCAGAAACTCTGGAGTGAATTTCATCCCTTTACCATGTTACTATTTTGTCATGCTTGTAAAATKAAAGTTTTGAGATTAACAACTTTCTGTCATGTTTGGGTTGAAATCAGTCTTCAAATTTAACAGTTACTGCAGCATTCTAAYCAGAGACATAAGACCACAAAAGCTTTCTTCACTGAAAACACAAGCTGAAAAATAATGTTGTATAGCACAAATAAGCTGAAAAAGGTAAATAGCTATAGGTATTTTAAACAAAATTTGATGGTGCTGTTACTTGAAAAAAATTACAAAAACATCAATGCTGTTTCCATCAATTCAGAACATCAAGTTCTGAATGCTAAATTCAGTATTATTCTAATATTTCTGACTTGAAAATTCTGGTATTGTTTCTATACTGAAACATTTCCCCCCCCCCCCCACATATTGTGCTTATCCTTGACATCATAAATATTGATGCACCCTTAGTCAGATGTTCTTGGTGCTTTCTGGATAAATTGTATTTCTCAGCTTTTTGCATATGGTCACTGGTGGTACTCAAAGCATCATCTCACTTTAAAGAATTTCAATGTGAAGCACAGTGTTGTAATTCAGACATTTTTAAACAATTGTCTTTGTGTTTTAAATGTGTTTCTACTGTAGCTTTATCGGAGAAGAATCTGTTGCAGCTGGACAGGGCAGCATTCTGACAGATAACCCCACATGGATTATAGACCCTATTGATGGAACTACCAACTTTGTACACAGGTTGACCTTTCATTTTTTTTTTACATTAGCATCCTCAACTGATTACCCTTTTGCTTTCTCCAGTTCTTGAAAAGTAAGGTTTTTATTTTTAAATTCCTTTAAAAGTGATACTATGAATTTGTTAATAGTTACAAATTGCTACTTATTGAGAGCCATTGGGCAGTTTTTGTAAGCATTTAAATATTCCTGCATTATAATAGTCTCACTCTGTTGCCTAACATCAGTTATTCCATAAGAGGCCTGTRTTATATAGCAGGGATCAGCAGCATTTGGCATGGATTTCAGAGATACATGGCAGATTTCACCAGTTAAGGGCTCAGAATTAGAAGTTGGAGCATCTTGAGACAGGTGATAACAGCTCCAGGTTCTGATTTCTAAGAAATTTCAAGTCCCTTGAGATCCAGGAGCCCCAACTAGGAAAGAAAGCAGGATACCACCAGTAATTTATCAGTGGTATTTTGCACCAGCATGAGGAGGGGACTTTCAGTGTAATGCTGTGACAGCCTGTTCCTTATGTCTTTGAAACATGATAGCTTTTGGCCCTAGTGAACTTTTCTGAGTGTTTCATTKAAGTTTTGAAATTACTATTATGTGCACAATGATTTTTAACAGCTTCTGAATCCTGCTAAATAGCATGTTCCAAAAGTWAGAAGAACCTCTTCTGCTGAATGTACAGACTTGAAAGTTGGTATTTTTTGCAGATAGTAATGAAAGTCCGGGAATTGRAAAAAAAAAAAWGAAGTATTTGATTGTTTCGAACTTAGAATGAGATGCAATCCACCATGTYGTATATAGTCCCACTGTCATCACTCTTCCTGCATTCTCCAATGTCTGTTTTTCTGATGGCTTTGGTGGAGAAAGGGGAGGTGTGGGGAGTTAATTTGGTTCTTTTTATGAGACCATTTTGGCCAGCTTGTTCCTTCTGAGAAAGGTTAGCAGCTTAGAGGCTTGGCTAGGAATGGCTGTAACAGGTATGGCAGCCTAGTGGGTAGAAAACTTTGTGCTTCAAACGGTAATCAGCATTATTGGCTCTGTTTTCAGCTGAATTGTGCATATTCCAAAAAAACTATGTCCTCTATAGTCCAAGTTTGTTTTTGAAATGTACATTATATTTAACTGAAGAGTGTCTTTATTAAGAGAAAGCATGGTAATGAAAGAAGTGTAGTATCTCACTGTAAATTAGTGAAATGTTTTGTTTTGTAGGTTTCCATTTGTGGCAGTTTCAATTGGCTTTGTTGTAAACAAAAAGGTATACTTTTTATTACTTAATATCTAATCCAACCCAAATTAATTTCTTGTTTTAGTTACAACTAAGTTCTGTAATTTCCTATTTCACAGTAAGTAGAAAGAAAAGGAAAAAACCCTCAAGGTGTTTTTCTTTTTTTCTTGCAGATAGAGTTTGGAATTGTGTATAGTTGTGTAGAAGACAAAATGTATACTGCCAGAAAGGGAAAAGGTGCATTTTGCAATGGTCAGAAACTTCAAGTATCGGGCCARCAAGGTAAGCTGAACTGAGTAGCTTCTTTCTGGTAATTACCAGATTGCAAATGAGACAGCAGAAGTTTCACACCTGGATATATTGGTATTTCTTAGCTCATAGTTTTGTTTTGCAAGACTTTCTTTCGCCATGGGCTGTTTAATTTTGAGAAACAGTTTTTATGTTCTCTTTGATGCATATGATGTGATCTGTGTAAAATCAGGACTCAGCAATTGAAGATTTTAGTCCCCATGTGTCTATGTTGTGGTTTTGTTAGTTTGTTTCTTTGTCTTTAATTCCCTGGATATCTGTAATCTGTTTGAGATGTTCTTTGGAGTGTAACAAATCAGCCAAACCATTCAACTTCYCCCAGGAGTGACCTGTTGTCTTAAGTCAGTAGGATTCTTCTCTGCTTACATCCCTACATCAAGTAAAATCCATGTTTCAAATGGGACCTTTAAGTATCAGGACTGTTTTAATTTTTATAACAATAGACTTTTACTTAGTACTGGCATCAGTTAATGTATATGCATAGTTGAAGCAGATCATGTCTCTTTCATTGTATTTTATTTTTTCCTGCCATTTTCCAAGTTAGAACAGATTTTTATGTTTGATATATTTAATATTTTATTAAGATAACTCACTTTTATTCAGTCTTCCAAGAAAGCAATGAAGTAAACCCTGCTAGTTATTGTGACTGTTTTAGTTGTGCTGATGGAAGAATGAGGTTTTGTTTCTTTTCCAGATATTACTAAATCCCTTTTAGTAACAGAATTGGGGTCAAATCGTGATCCAGAGGCTATAAAAATAATACTTTCGAATATGGAAAGACTTCTCAGTATTCCTATTCATGGGTAAGATGCTTCCTATTTTTATATATATACATTGATGGTGGTTAATACTGTAAATATGATAATTTTTAGAAACYTTTGGTTGCATTGTATTTGGCACCTTAAATGTGAAATATGATTTAAAAGTTTCTCTCTAGTAGCTTTCATGGAGAAACTGTGTTTAACCTTTTCAAGGTGACACATATAGAAGAGAACCCTAACAATTGATATTGAGAAGCAAAGCTTGTTTGTGTTTGTAGGACTACAAAGTGTTGTATTTACTAATTAAAAAAATTAAATACAATTTTGTGCTTCTCACCCCATCCCGAAATACATAAGGAATAAAACTGGATAACAGAAGTTATATTGCATTTCTTTGTTTCCTTTCAACGTAGTAATGAAAACTGTTGCTTTTTAAATACATATGTACATACATATATGTGTGTGTATATATGTAATATATATATATATATATATCAGAAGATACAAGTAATTCTCCCTTTCATTTCTCAAAACCATACAATTTTAACTTGTCTGAGTAGTTTAGGTTGTCCATGAACTGGTCTTATTTTGGTTGCATTCCCTACCTACTGTCCTCCAGATAAGCCAGTCTACATTTCCGCAAACCATTTGTATAAAGTTAGTTTCAGTAGACAGTTTTTTGTTATTGTAACCATGTCCATGTTTCTGATCTAACAAGTTTTATGCTGAGATTCTCAGGATTCTTGTTTAACAGCATGCCGATTTTTTTCTACTTCCAAAGGCTCTTCCAATGTAGTTAAAGAATATATGCTAAGATGTAAGTAGGGAATACATTTTAGGTGTGTTCACAGGTCAGTTCAACTTGGGCATTTTATTTATAAACAATAAYTTGAGATTGGAGTTGATTTATGTTGCTTCTTGCAATGGTATAGCTGCTGATGGTTACAATTTAATGTACAGTTTAYTGTTAATTGAAATTACTGCAATTATTTTTACAAGTCATATTTACTTGCTAAGTGCATCAGCATTTCCAAAGGAAACTGGAATTTGTGACGTGAGAGTTTGTTGAAGTTATCCAGACCAAATTTATGCTGTGCAATTTATTTTTTATGATTACTGTTAGAGGGTTTGGAAAGTCAAAAGATTTTTACTAGGCATCAGCAGAGAAACTGAAAAAAAAAATGGTTTTTCAGCACTGAACAGTGTACACTCTACTTGAATTCTTGTATTCAAAGAGCAAAATAGACTATCTGTTACTGTTTCATGGGAAATTATCTTCCATAATATTTTTGTCTAGGAAATMATTTGGCATGTTTTTAAACCAAAATTGATAAACAGAATTTGTAAATGTAATTTCTGGAAGTTTGCTGTGTTTGGAAAACTCCTCAAGCTACTTAAGCAACACCTCATTGCYGGTTTTTTGTTTCACTGTAGCATTCCATCATGCTTTCTCTAGCTCAGTTTACTTCCATTGTGATATTTCTTTRTTCTCTATGCAGTCCACACAGACACCGTAACTTTTTTGCAAACTCAATTAAAACATCATCTTGTATCTCCTYTAGGATTAGAGCTGTTGGTACAGCAGCTGTGAACATGTGCCTTGTGGCAACGGGTGGAGCTGATGCCTATTATGAAATGGGGATTCACTGCTGGGATATGGCCGGAGCTGGGATCATTATTACTGAAGCTGGTGGAGTACTGCTGGACGTGACAGGTAAAGACACAGGCCTGCATAATAATATTTTGTCCTTTTACATGACTTATTGGGAATAAAATGTAGTTGAAATGAGAAGGCAAGAAGTTCTTTTCAGTCCTCTTTCCAAGCTACCACTACTGAACAGAATTCCCAACTCWTTAATAGATAAAGGAAGTGCTAATTGTATGTTCTTAACCAAGACAACCTTTATTCCCTTGGCTGTACACCTGGAAAAGTGAAAAAAAGACAGTAAATATATATTGAAGAGAATTTAAATGCAGCTCATACAAGACACCTGTTGTATTATATGCATTTTTGTCTAGAGACAAAACTTGGTCCTAAATAGTAATGTATAATTTACACTCAATTTTTTCAATACTTATTTTAATGCAAACTTTTAATTTTTTCCATATATAAACTGGTTGCTTTGTTTGCCCTGCTTTCTAGGTGGACCATTTGATTTGATGTCTCGGAGAATAATTGCTGCAAGTAGTCAAGCTGTYGCAGAGAGAATAGCCAAAGCACTTCAAGTAATTCCTCTGAGAAGAGATGATGCGACCAACTGAACACCAAAGCTACACCATAAATGTCCTTATCTAATGTTGTCTGGTATTCCCACATGGTCGTTCTACACCTTGAATCAATGGTAGTCTTTTAGTACTGGCGTGGCTGCTAAGTTGAGCTTTGAGATTGAAACAACATTCTAAATAAGCTTTAACTGTTGAGTATTTTATTTAACATTTTTATTAGATAAAAATCTAGAAAAATAAATATATGCAACTAGTATTTTTATGTTTTATACTACACTGGAATGCATAGCAAGAGACTCTTTGGTGTATAGATAAATAAAGATCTCTAATTCTGTAGTGACAAACAAAAACCACTGTCCTAACACCACATCATCACATCTGATCCTGAACCCAAAATGATGACGGCATCACTGTTTATCCAGTCTTACTCTCGCTGGTCTCCAGTGTATCCATTTCCTTACCTCATTGCAGTTTTTGTGAAGGGAGTTCACACATTTCTGAACTTGTTAGTTGCTGGTAGTTTTGACAACAATTTTAAAGCCTTCAWTGCTTACCTATCATTGTTTTTGTAGTCATGATTTTACCTTTCTTATGGTAGACAGACACAGTCTCTTCTTTAGCCTTGTATGTGGCTAGTACTCTTGCAAATCCATTACAGTTTCAAAAGTAAAAGTTATTGTGCCTGAGAATACATGTATCTCCCAGAATTAAGTTCTGAGCACACCTATCACTCAAAATTAAGATGCAGTGTAATTTGCATTTTGTTAATTTTGATTGGCTTTCTTCATGGATGAGTGTGTTTTTAAGCCTAAGGAATCATTAAATCCAACTCAGCTGGCAAAAAAAAAGCCCATAGTCCTTATTTTTTACATAATTTTCTGTAAGTTACGAAAGCTKTGACCAGCCAGGACCAGGTTTCCATTGTGTTATAGAATGTATACAGAAGAAGACACATAGCTAAACCAAAAGGGTTTATCAATCTAAGAAATATTAGTGATTTAATTCTAGGTGTCAGTTGTTGTAAACTTTGAAAATTGTAATGGTTCTGTGCATTTTTGTATTTAAGGTTGTTAAAAGCATCAGTGCACTGTTCAAATAATGAATGCACTTTAAAAAAAGATGTAACTCTGATTGGTTTTTAGACTTTTTGTGTTGAAAAGAAAGTTGTCTCACTGGTTGTTCAGTCAAGATACAGCAATGCTTTGGAAAGCCTGACTTTTTGTACTTCTGTCCCACTATTTTTATTTTGAAAAATGCTATATTGAAGTTTGAACAGATTGCATATTATAAATGTCAGGCTTTTATATCAGTTGWTTTTTGCAGATTTTTTCAGAAATACTTAATTGGAAGATGTATGTCATGCCAGATGATCAATGTTAACAAGGTCAGCCTGCTATTTGAAGGTCTTCTTAAAAAGCCAGACTCACAATTATTTTAGTTTTAAAAATTCCTATTGACTAGGATGGAARCCTTTTGAGCATTTTGCTGTAACTTTATTACTGTAAACAATGTGGGATCATGGTTATTTTTGAGATATCTTGTGTGTCATTGCTGTGGCTTTTGTATAACAAAAKCTACATAACTTCATTTGTGAAATTGAGATATGTCTAAAAAATACTTGAAATGGGAAAATGTTAGAAATAAATTCACTTTAGCAGCAGTGGCTTCAGCTGTGCTTCCTTTCATAGCATTCATCAGGCTGTGATGCTGTGACCCAGCAAACTGGCTCTGTGGGTCTCAAACTTGAGTTGAGCACTTTTTCTTCTTGGCCTCTGATGTGCATGGATCATAAACTGTTGTGCCTTTAGATGTGGGATTTTGTATGCACCTGCACTTGGGTTTTGGAATGAATATTTCAACCTCTGCTAGTGAAATTATTTAATCACCTCCCACCTCAGACTCAAACTTTGTGGATTATCTTGCCTGTCATTTGTGTTGGAGGTCCATCAGGTGGTTGAAGCGTGTAATTTTCTCATTTAACTTTCCTAATAATGCTATCTGAAGAAAAGTTTATATGAATTTCTTATCTCAGCCCTCATCACTCTGTTTGTGTTGGAGATGCGCAATTTCTTTTAACTCCAAATGACAGCTTTTATCAACTGCTTTCTTTTTAATTTCAGCCACCTTTTCAGGAGGATCTGAAATCCTAGCTTGACACTTTGCTAAGCATTGTCTTCTCCAATACCTTTAATATGAGGCCACTTATGTGAAAGGACACTGAAATGTAATTGTTAAGTTTAAAGATATTTTGTTTCTGTACTAGCCTGACAAGATTTTGTAATAAACAGAGAAGTCAAGATTGCTGTGTATCCAAAATGCTTTTGAGATTTTACATATGAGGTAGCACCTGAATCTTTGAAACTATGAAAAGTGTAGCTTTTTTAATAATTTAAGATAAAATTATATGTTTACAAGATAGCTTGTGCTGGGCAGTGAGACAATTGGGAAGAAAGGCCAGTTACCACAGACTAAACAATCTGTCAAATTAAGGTGTTGAATATTTCTCATGGAGCCATCAACAGTCCACTATACAAGAAACTCTTGCAAAGCTTTTCAGTGAACATGGTGGGATTTCACATGGCAAATTCCACTGTGGTTTGAACCTCAGCTGTGAGTGAAGAGCACTCAAGACTTACAGGTGCAAGAAGATCAAGTGGACAGTCAGCAACTGGTGCAAGTGAAAAAATAAAAAATACTACTGGAAGTTAAAGGACTATATGAGCACATTTAACCAGTCCCTTCACCTTCACTCAGAGAATTTAAATGGTCAGCATTGTTGCCATAGTTACTACACAGCCTACTGCTTGTCCTAATGAAGGTCTTCAGAGTAGGGAACTGATTAACTAAATCAATTAGTGCTACAAAATAGGTCATGGTGACCTCTAGCACTGATGTTTCTGCAGGAGGGGAGGTAGCCTTAGTCTACCATCCTGGCTATCACCTGTCACTGGCTCTCTTCATTTACTGATTTGCTGATCATTTGTGATTGTTTTGCAGCTGGAGTAAAGCTCTGCAGGTCGCCATGTAAAACAGAGTGTAACCGTAGTTTCAATCCTGCAGAGCTTTCCCCAGCATGAAATATTGCTAAAGTCACAAAAAGTTTCAGGATCTTGTCCAGCCATCTTACGTAGCCCTGCAGAAAATCGCTTCTCTGTCCTCCTTCTCTGTATGGCATATGGACTATCCCTCATAATATCTGTGACCTACAGCTGTGGTTTATTTTTGCTTGGTCTAATGTCTAGTTGTGAGCTAGGCATTCTGACTAGATATAAAATGTCATCCTGTGGCCTTGGTAATGAAGCATTTTAAACAAGGAACATCTCTTCCTGAACTCCTTCCCATCCTCCCAAGCTCAGCTGCTAATTCAGTTCTGCTCATTATCTGTGAGGGAGGCAATTGCTTCCTTCACCAGTCTGATCCTGTTGCTAAAGTGCTGGCAGGCAACTCTCCAACAGCAGCTGCCATAGCTGCCTTCATTTGCACCAACTCCAAGCATCCCAAGGATATCCATGATGTGACACCTCGAGAGTGTCAGCCCTATCTCCTGGGCAGCAAAATCCATTCCATTTCTGGATTAGTGCTTGCCCAGCACCAAGAGCAACAGGGAATCTAGTCTGTCAAATCGCTCTCCAGTTTGTATAATCTTCACAAAAGGATCTGCAGCTTCTTAAAGATAGAAGGAGTTTCTGAAATTTCCTCTGTGCCCACTGKCTGCTGTCTGTCTGCTAAACCAACAGGGCAAAGAAAACCTGACACACTACAAAGCCATGTGCAGCATTTGGAACAAACAAATTGGAGGATTGCACTCAGCCGAGAGCACATTATGGCACTGTATGAAAGACCTACAAACTCCTGCCTTTTTGAGGAGAATGGATTAGCGAAGGAATGCTCTCCCTAAAGCAGAGCAGAACTAATTTTCTAGCATAATTCAAGCTATTAAGAWGCTAAAACTAATGGTGGGTGCACATGCTGTTCCAGAATCTTACAGCCTCTGTTAGTGTGTGGTACGTTGCCTGCATTGTGTCACACTTATTCCTGGTTTGCAGAATCCCAGTGATGATTTTTACACTGAGGTGATTCTCTCTATACAAAAGTTGCTTTAATTGGGAGTTGGGCCTTCTGTACTCCCATTAAAGTGGAAGGAAAAGAGAAAGAAAATACAATAGCAAAGGCTGTGCCACAGCAATAAGTAAGGCATTCTCCCCTTTTCATGCAGTGGGAGATTATTGTTTTGTTATGTCTCAGCTCAATGGAGACTGCTTTTACAACTATTTGAAGCACTTCATTTAGAAGTGTACTGCAAACACTTGAGAAATAATTTCATAGGAGCTCTTCCTCAGCTTGCTCTGTTCCATCTTCCTCTGCTGCTGTCCCGGGAGAGGCTGTTCCGTGCTATTTTATCCTGCCCGTGTACTCAGGCGSAGGGAGGTCTCGGGGAAGATGCACAAACCCCCGAGGAGCCGCGCCCCTCACCGCTCCCGGCACAACACTAGATGGCAGCCGGAGCCAGGGAAACACCAGGAGACCCAGGGTTCCTTTGCTTTAGAGACCGTTCCCTGTTCCACGCCTCCCATCCATCCTCCTTCTGCTCCGTAGTTATTATTGGATACAATAACTGAGAAATATTCAGAAGAATTATGCCAAAATTKTTGAAGACTGGGTCTGTTTTTCTGTGACTTGAGGAGTGTGAAACAGGACTTGTGCCAGCTGACAACTCCTTTTTAAAGTATGTTGAAGATGGTGGGTATCTATCACAAAAGATCACAAATCTGAATTCTAAAATAAGATGAAAACTGTACAAAGTCCTTACATTATACTGCATTTAAGACTGTAGTCATTTCCCCTGTATTTTTGGCTGTCATAAATCAGGACATGGCTTTTTAGAAACCTTTGTTGTTTTAAGCCTGCCACATAATCTTCTGGGCAAGCGTGTATTAATCTGTACGCAGATACAACAGCCCCATGACAAGAARCCTAGACACAAATAAGCAGGACTTAGTGATTTTTGAGATCAACATCAGCAACTGGTTTATTTTCCAAAGAGAACACAAGTTAAATATTTTGCCTCCAAATATATTGAGATGATGTAAAGGAACAATACTAGCTGTGTYTATATTTGCCCTGTTCTGTATAGTATATTAAGACTACGTTTTTCAGGATCTGCTCAAGCATGGATAGGATGAAATAAACATCCCTTTATTTCTAGGTTCCATTGGTCTCTGTGCTGCATCCTGTTAAAGGTGTATTTGTATTTATGACCTTGCTTCTGAAGGCAGTGGCCTAGAGGTTAAGTGCCAATGCATTACTGACAAAAGGTTCTCTCTTTATCTCAGTGTGGCTCTTGAGAGGTATTGCTTGCCAGGAAAGGACTTTTCTCAGGAGAAGACTTGCCTGCTCTCCCYGTAATACATCTGGAGATGCCCTGCCAGGGCACACCATACAGAACATGGCCAGAACAAGGATGCTGTTGAGGAGGAACATCTGCTTATGCTGTTGAGGAGGCYCCAAGGTACCCTGCTTCCTAAAATCAAGTAGCAAAAGGAGACATATGTCCTGTACTGTCTGCAACCATCTTTCAATTCAGGTCAGGGTGAATTAAAAGAATAAGTTACTCTAGTGGGTATCAGCATGGTAAATTTCTTTTCTACTCTGACCTCTCTATGGTGTTGCAAGACAGCTACACTGTCCTTCCTCTCTCAGCTGCAAATTCCCCTTTGGACAAGAGAAAAGCTCCTAAAGCTGTTTCTGGTAGTGGGGTCTTGGCCAAAGACAAATGACTATGGAAATAGGGTCCCAGCTGAGATGTGTTGACCTGGGATTTGCTGTGGTGTGGGATCTCGGGGAAGGTAGAGCRTCTTGGCCAGAGTAGGCCAAGAGCAGCAGGGACAGGAGGTGCTAGTTTGATACCAGCTTGTATTTGTACCTGCAGGGAATGTTTCTGTTTTTAGAAATGTTGTTCTTTTCCMGCTCTCATGACAAACAGGTATGATTAGATCTATGGAGTTATATAGAAAGCCTCTGTAGGGATTTTCAATTTTCTATACTTTTTCCAGAATTAAAGCAAGTAAGTTCAGGTGTAAAAGTTCATCAGGACTTTATTTATTATTAATGGCATAAACCTCTACTTTACTGGATGTTTGCATTGACCAGTTGTAGGCAATCACCTCACTACTGAAAGCTAAAAATAGTAAAAACACACTTTAYTTCTGCTTCATTATACTTGAAATTGTGGTTACAGTTTTCAACAATCCTCCAGCAAAACACATTTAAAATAGAGTAATGGTTAATGTTATTAGAAATTCCTGTTTCAATATTTATTTAGTTGTAATTAGCAATGTATTAGCTGGGTAAAAGTAAATTGTGTCCCACTTCATCTGTGGACATTGTTCAGCTCACTATGTTGAAATGGAATTCATAATGACAAGCTGTCATAGCAGAGGGAGGTTAAAAGCTTTGCTTCTGTTGGCACTTAGATGTTAATAGCAGTTCCCACTGAAAGGAAGTGCAAACCTGGGCATAATGATTCRTCAATAGTCATTTGTGTGGCTGACACTGAAAAACACTGCTATTCASTCAGATGAATCAATTAGGAGAGAAAATATGTTTTCTACTAGTGCACATTCCAGTTCAGTTAATTTCTCCTATCTTTTATTTAAATAT